AGATTGTTCAATTAAGCGAGAAAGTGCTGAAGCAGCCTGCATGACTCAAGTTTGCAGCGTCCAAAATGTGGGAGAGAGAGGGGCCTGAGCCAGTGTGCTCCTGGCACGGCATGCCCTGCTTTCTTGCTCCGTCTTTGTACAGTTTCCAGTTTTCAAAAGCCCAGTTTGGGAAACAGTAGCATCTGCAAGGAGGCACATATGTGCACACAGCTAACTAGAGGCATCATGTTAAATAACAAATGCTTGTGGCCATCAAATAGATTCCGGCACATGCAGCCCTGAGTGTCAGAGTGGGACTGTTCAAAGGGTCTCAGTGGCTCTATGTTTTCTTGCAGCCTCTTGTGGTGGCCCTATAGGACAGAGTAGAACTGTCCACAGGGTTGCTAGAGCTGCAGTTTTGTCTTTCTTGTGCAGAGTGGCTAATGTGTTTGAACCATTGGCCTTTGGCTCAGCAGCCCAGTGCATAGCCTGTAACACCATATTGGACTGCTGTGAGTCAGAACCAGTTTGATGGTAGTGGTTTGACTTCAGCTTTGCCTTTGCCTTTCATAAGATTAACAAAAACAAATTGCTGGGTGTTTCTTAGTCAGCTCCCTGGGGTGGATCTGACCCCTGGTGTTCCAGTTAAGGGACAAGTGCAAGTTGTGTGCGCTGCCCAGGAACATAGTTGAGGGAGACACTGCAGGGGTCACACTCCTCCTACTCTGGGCTGGCCTTCCTCATCCACTTTCTCTGGGCCTGGCCAGCTGAGGACACCCCACACCATGGCTTGCTCTTCAAGATTCTTGCTCTTGCCCCCCTCGGTCCCCTTCCTGTGGTTTCTTCCTCTCCTTGGTGTCCAGCTTGCTCTTCCTGAGCATGTCTCTTCTGAGTGCCATGCTCTTCTCCCAGCCCAAAGCACATTTACTCCCTCCTCTTGTCTAAACTCTGCTTGTCCTTCACTGTTTGGCTAAGGTTTCTTCCAGGGAACTTTCCTTGATTCCTTGAACAGCCATGGTAGATGGGGTGATGTTGAAGTCACAAAAGTTTCAAAGAGCTCTTTCTTTGGCTGACAGTTTAAGGTGGTAGTATATGTTGTGTATGATGGTACACACACAAGTATTAGAGCTTTGTAGCCTATTGGGTACACAAGGCAAGAAGTTCAAATCTTCCAGCTCCAAGGCTTCTGCTGGACAGTCTCCAGTGAGATTTCCCACCTCTGAAAACTCTTTGGAGGATCAGCTGCGTTGGCTCCAACTCAATGGCAATGTGTTTTGATTTCGTGTTTGGTTTTTATAGTGCATGTGGGCTCTGAGGTGCTTAATGGGGGAGCCTGGACATCAGTGAGTGGGTACTCTTAAATTCCTTGTAAAACTTTTTGGTGTGCCTTCCATGAATTTCCCCTCCACCTCCCTCATGAGAAAGAAAAACCCACTGGAAGAATTTGTAAACCTTTCATTACCAAAACATGCTGTTCTCGGAGGGTCCAGTCCTCACAGTGCTTGAGTCCCTAGAGAATAAAACACAAACAATATAGAGTGTGTCTGGGATAGAGTGCACACATTTGTATCTTTTGCAAGCATCCAGAGCCCACACTTTGGAACGTACCATCCTTCTAATATTGGACTCCCTTTGGGGTCTAGGCTAATGAAGATCTAGTTATAAAGGGAATCCCTGGATGGTGGTACTCAAGGTGTAGGTACTTGGCTGCTGACATCATAAGAGGATCACGCCTACCCAGAGGACCTGTAGAAGAAAGAGCTGGAGCTGTGTTTTTGAGAAGTCAGAGAACCCTGAGGAGCACAGCTGTGCTTGGGCAAACACGGGTGTCTAAGTACCAGGATCAGCTTCAGTAGCAGCTATTGTTTTAAGAAGGTTTATAGTCAGAGACTGACAAGAGTTAAGACCAAAAGTTGTGGTGCTGTCATAGCTGAGGAACTGTGCCCTTTCTTTCTCAAATAAGTTGGATTTGTTTTAATCCAGGACAAGAACCATTTCCATTTGCCTTTATATCCTCAACCTAGCATGTATAGGTGCCCAATAATGTGTGTTTGGTTGGATGCTCCCTCTCCTCCTGGCTTCTGAGGAGAAAACCCTGAGTCTGAGGCCTGGCTTCCTTTGGAGAAAACCCGTGGCTGCACACAGCCCAATTTTGTTTGAGGCCTGCCTGGTTTCTTGAGTGGGGGCTGGGGCTGAAGGGAGCCTGCAGTGCTAATTGGTGTCATTGAGTAATTAATGTGGAATCAGGCCCGAGTGGATTCCCAGGGAGACAAACACTGAGGGAGGCTTTCATGCTTGGTGGGATGGGAGCGGCCTTCTCAATGGAGTTCCCGGAGCACTGAGGCCACTGGCATGGCTTACTGGGGGTGGCTTGGCAATCTCAGTGGGGTTCATGCAGCACTTTGGAGGGGGTTTGTGTTGGTGCCATGGCTCTGGACAATATGGAGCGTGGCAAGTTTGACTTTAAAGAAACACAAAACACAGGCTTGTGCTCTGGGAGCCAAACCTGCCTTGGAGCAGAATAGATGGTTCGGAGGGGAGCTGTGGCTGCTGGTGTGGGCCAGCACTCCTGGTGTCCTTGTCCTCTGTGCTGGCCCCGTGGGCTGCCCCCAGCCCTCAGCATGCGTGGTAAGGCCTGTGGAATGCTGTTCCCCTGCCGTCTCACTGAGGCCAGACCTCTGGTTTGCTCTTCCTCAGACAGACCACGCTGTGTTGTGGGCCATTGTCTATAACCTTTACTGCCTTCTCCTGCCTTAACTCTGTCCTTCAACACTTTCTTGAGGTGTCATTTCTTTTTTTAAAAAAATTGTTTAAGAATAAACAATGATTTTATTAAAAAATCATTAACAGAGAAGAAAGTATATATTTACATGCAAGAGTTAGAGTAGCAAAAATTATAGTATACCAAACTATATTAATATTTTCATTTAACCATAAAATACAATAAAATAATAGCCATTCAAAATCTATGTATTTATGCTTTTATTATATGTATATTACAGTGAAATCTAATAAAACCAGTAAAGCAAAAACCTTTTGTAGAAGAAAAGTTCACATTTTTTTCAAATTTTTCACGAAAATGAGTGATAGGAAAGATGACCACCTGTCTTGGACCAGGAGACAGTGATCAGAACAAAGGTGTCATTTCCTCTGGGAGCTTTTCCTGATCATTAGTAAGTCAGGATATGTTGGCGGATGCTGCGGTGACAAATACCCCAGAATGCTCAATAGCTTACAGCGTCCAGGCTGATTGTTTTGTTATACTTCCTTGATGAGATAGGGTGGCAGGTAGAGCAGACAGGAGGGCCTTTGTATGTTCACTCAAGAGCTCAGGCCTCTAGAAGCTTCTTCTTTTTTTAAATTTTTATTAAATTTTATTAATTTTAATGAACATTTACAGAGATTTTGGATTTTCATTCATTCATTGCTGCACTATTTTCTCTACCCCCCCAGTTTGTTCCTCTTTTTCCCCCCCTTGAAAATCTGTTTTAATTGTCCCATTTCCACAGTGCTTGTCAAAGCCAATTCTGATTAAATCTCCTTTGTCAGTGTATCCTTTGCCATTCCCTATCACTCCTCCCTGAGAGAGTTCACCCTGATTCATAAGGAAAAGGGGAGGCATATTCTCTTAGCTACTTCCTGCTGAAAAGGGACGCTGTAGGTTTCAGGGTGAATATCCTCTCTCACTACTCTAAAGGCCCCTTTGACAATAGGAAACACAGACTATTGTGGAGATTGAGTTTGGAATTTAGATGCACTGTTATCAGTTGTGCTTAGCCATACATGTTCATATCCTTGAAGATGTATCTTAGAACTGTTGCAGCCTAGAAGACATGAATTTAACTAACAAGTTAAAAGTACATGAGTCAAAAATTAAAAGCAATAATATTCCAAGTAGAGGTTCTAACAGTGGCACAAACCAAGTTACAGAGGGAAGATAGTTCTTAAAATAAAAGGCTTATTGACTAGCACTTTGTCTATTATAGTATAAAGGTTAGGAACCACAAGATGTAGATAGAGGCTCAACTACATCATTTATTGTTCTTAAGTCCTGGAGCAAATTCCATCTACCACTGGGTTGTTTTACAGCTCCAAAGTCCACATGCAAGGCAGAGGTGAGGTAAGGAACTGCTTATGAGGTTTTCCGTCAATTCCAACAACTGAGAAATAGTAAGAAGAGTTGGTACCTCAGAAGGCTTTTAGGACCAAATAATAGGCTCTTGTGTCTAGGAGAAAATGAATATACTTACCAGTAATGTTAATGTTCACCCACAGCTTTCAGCTTTCCTGGGAGGATCTAAATCATTGAAGCCAGAAGGTTCTTCTTGACACAGGTTTCTTCTGCAGTGCAAACAAAATGGTCAAAAACCTCAAAACAAACAGTTGTTGCAGAGCCATTCCCGGCCTCAGTGACCCGTGTGTCAGAGCAGAGTGGTGGCCATTCCGGGTCCTGGTGACCCGTGTATCAAAGTGGAGTGGTGGCCATTCCTGGCTTTGCTGACCCGTGTGTCAGAGCAGAATGGTACCGAGCAGGGTTTTCAGCATGGATTATTCTCTGAGGCATCTCTGGGCAGGCCTGTGGCCTTTGGGTCAGCAGCTGAGTGGTTGACCATCTGCACCAGCCAGGACGCTGCAGTGGGGAACGTAGGGAAGAGACCTTGTGAACCATGTCACCTGGCTCTCCCTGCTTCCATCTGAAGTGGTATTTGTCTTGTTGGCCAATGCACCCCCAGGTAGAATGTTTCTTCTCTATCTATCTCTACTTAGTAACCCCTGCCTTGCTGTGCTGTACTTGAGTGGCTCCCTTGTACATTTCTCCCTGAGCATGCCATTATAGGAGGACAAGCACTAGTCTTCTTGTTCTCTGAGACTCCTATTCCCAACTCAGAGCGCATCTTGTGGAAGCCACTGGTGGATAGTGGGAAGTGGCTGAAAGAGTAGATGAACCCCATCCCATCTCTGTACCTCTGTTGGGATGGACTGTCTCCTAGCCACTGTTACTCATCACCTTCCCTCCTCAGACGCAGGGTCCTGGCCATCTCAGATGGGATTGAGCACATCGGGAATCTCCGAGGAGAGCTGGCCTTGTGTCTCCTGGCAGCCTGGACCATCTGCTACTTTTGTATTTGGAAGGGGACCAAGTCTACTGGAAAGGTAAGGAATAGGGCTTTGTGTTGCAAGGGAGACATGAGTCGTTCTTCTGCGGCCTTGAAAATGGCTGAGGAGTTCATACTGTGAAGGAGCACTGGCCCTGGAGACCCCTCAGAAAAGCCTAGAGTTCGAGTCTGAGCTTTGCCACTTATTTGCGGCACACTTTAGGGATGTTCATTCTGCCTCTTAGTTACCCAAATAGCAAAATCTGGTGACTTTAAAGAAAAGAAATCTACTTTCTCACAAATCTCAAAGCTGATCGTCCCAATTAGGATCTTGGCTGTGTTGCTTCAGTCCTTGTCAGCAGCTCTGTATGTATGTCCCTTGGCTCCTTGGCTTGTAGACAGACTTGTGTCTGTCATCCTTGTGCTGTATATTTGTGGTCTTTTATTATAATTCAGGAATGAGTAGATTGAAGGCTTGTACTATTCTGTTATGTCCCCATTAACAAAGCAAAAGAAAAACAGGATAACTAACATGGGTTCAAGAACCAGGAATCCAGCCCTTATTTGAGGGAAACCAGTTCACAGCACCTGCAGAACCCCAGTGTCTTCATCTGTGAAGTAACCTACCTTGCCCAGTCTTTCACATAGTGAAGTAGAACGAGAAAAATTAATGAGTTCTAAATACCTCACATGTGATTCTTCCTCAGTTTAAGACCCAGCTTCTGGGGTTGTTAAAGGCTGAGGATGCTGCCTTCTCCATCCACAGGCCTCTCCATCTCAATTGCCTGAGGTCTGTGTAGGGATGCTTGACCTCCTCCAACTGGGGCTGGGCTGTGTCGCATGAAGCACCTAGCTCTGAGAGTCACCAAGGAAAAGCCTCAGTGTATTGTGTGGAGATGATTCTAACTGATGGTGAACCTGAGGATGCAGAGTGGAGCTGTACTCCCCAGGGTCTGCACTGGCTTTAATCTCCCAGAGTTGCTATTCCTTCTTCTAAAGGTTAATCTTCCAGCATCAGTTTGCAGCCCAGGTTGGCAGTCATTTGAACCACCAGGAGCTTGCCATAAACTTGTGCCAAGTCTAGCTCACATGTGCATTTTTACTTTTACATGTTAAAAACTTAGTTGTCAGCATTTGAAATTTGGCAACTGCTGTTGAGTAGTTGCATTGCCAACCAAAAGACATGTGGTTCGAATCCACCAGTTGCTCCAAAGGGCAGTTTCCTCCCTTGGGATCTACAGCCTCCAGAAACTTGCTTGAGGGTCAACTATGAGTTGGTTACAACTCAGTGGCACATAACAGCAACAACAACAACATGTGGGAAGGAAAAAATGACCTGATTTATGATACCCTTAAAAAGTTGGATAATGTAGTATTTATTGCTGAGCTTACACACTAACTGGAGGAGAATGGACTGAGCAGAGCTGAGAAGTGCCCTTCCTCCTCCAGGGCTCTGGTTAGCTGTAGTCCCTGTGGTCCTGTGGTGAATTATCAATGCCACAAGGTGCCTGTGCCCTCATATTTCTCCCTAGAAAGGAGATTAAGAGTTTCTTACACCTGGGTCCATCTGACTTCATACCTCATTGCCTACCCAATTGTGGGAGGTGATTGGTTGTAAACTGTCTAAGGTCTTGACTGGTGCAGGGAGCAGAGAGAAAGTCTTCAAAGAAGCAAGAACTTAGCACCTCCAGCTCTTCTTCCAAGAAGGGGCCTCAACTCCCACAAGGGTTGGCAGGAAGAAGAAGAAAGTGCGGGAAGAGTGTGTTATAGGCCAGTCTCGGAAGGAGGAGGGGATGTTGTACTGAGCAGGGTACCAGCTAGCCCTGTGCAAGGTGGGTAGATGCACAGTAACATAGTCTGAAAGATGCTGGGATCCAGAAAGGGGAGCAGAAGTGTTCATGGCCCTCCTGCCAGCATGATTTTGCTGAGTTTTGCTTTTTGTAGTTTGTACTATAAAAACAGGAGGCTGTTTCTGTTTTCCAAATGGAAAATGCATTGCTGATATACTTCGTTAGATTGCATATGAACTCTGATGGATGGTGCTAAACTCCAAGCTAGAAGATTCTGGTCTGCCCTGTCTCTTTGGTAGAAAGAAGGTCACTCTCCTCCCGTAGAGAGCCTCCGCTGTAAAGCCCCAGAGGGCCACTGGGAGTCAGATGGTGCACTTGCCGCTCTCTGCCCCTGTCTCCCTGCCCCTTCTGGAAGGTCCGGAGTCTGGATAAAATTCCATGTCTATTACTCATTAGCCATGACCTTGGAAATACCACTCAACTTCTCTGAGCCTGTTTTCTCTTCTGTGAAACGAAGATTGATAACTCACTTCATGGCATGATGGGGAGAATTAACTAGAAAGATGCATTTTAAATGTGCATAATTTTAAACTCACATTTTAAATGTGAGTAATAGTAAATTTCTTAAAAATGGTAATTTTAAAAACCTTTGGTTATGAAATTCATACCTATTAAGCATAGTTTACAAATATGTCCTGTATATTCAGTATATGTACTGTCTGTCTAGTATTATCTAGAGATGAAAAGGGGAGCCTCTCCTTTACTCAGATGAACCATGTGCAAAGGCAAACCACAGAGAAAGGAGATGTGGTGTTTATTAAAGGTTTTGGTGTCTTAGGGTACCAGATATAGGGGCTTCATTCCTGGGCAGGTGTCTCATGCATGTTGTTGTTGTTGTTGTTATGTGCCGTCGAGTCGCTTGCGACTCATAGCGACCCTATGTACAACAGCCCTAAACTCTGCTCTGTC